CTCTCTTTCAGGCCAGTTAAAATAGATTGATGGACCTCTTGGGTGGAGAAACTTAACTTCAGCATCAACTTCTTCTAGGTTGATTTCAGTTACAATGCCGATCCACCACTTATCATCATAAACTACCGCAACATAACCTCCTAAAGTGACAGTATCAGGTTCAAATATATGTTTCTTTTTAAGATTGTGAATTATTGTATATTTAGTGTCTGTACTACACCTCTTCGCCCCAACCCTATTATCTCCAAGATGTATAAATTGATGAAAGCTACGAGTACCTGGTAGAGTTGTTACATCAGTGTACCTTTCTTTTTGCTTTTCACGTTGCAATTGTAAGTCCAATCCCTTTATGTAAATGAAGTTAACAGCCTTAATTTTCTCAACACAAAATTCATACATAGCCTCTGATGTGAGAATTTGGTTTCTGTATGGTCGTTTTAAACTTTCTTGTGCTGTTAACCTTTTTACAGTACCACCAATTCCATCGCATGGTGACTTTCCGTGGGACGTGGCAAAAAAGTTCCATTCAATTTTGAGGGAAAATTCTGTCTCTAGTTGGCATAGATTGTAAAAGCTTTTACAATTTTTGTACTGTCCTGCACAACCATCAGTGAATAAATGCAATTTGGATAAATCAAGAAATTTTGTTTTTAATATTGGTATAATTAGTTGAAATATCTTGTATACATAAGTTACATCGTGTATAATGTCGTCTGATATAAAACAGTAAGAAATATGTTTCACTACACCATTTTCTTCTTTATAGTATATCACTAATGGATGTAAAGAACATTGTTGGGTGTTCCAGTGATAGCTCTGTATTTCATCTTGGACTACAAAAGCATAATTTTCAGCAAAGTCGCCAAGAATGATAATGTTTGATTGATCCATATTTTCTTTTAGTTGATTAAGGTATTGTGATTGAGATTTGGCAATATAAGAATGAGATTGTAGCTTTTCAAAACAAGATACCAATAGTTCAATAAACGTTGGAACATCTGTTGTTAAACTCAATAGTGTTGCACGATCAGTAGTTTGCCATTGTTTGTAGTGTATCTCAAAATCATCTTCGTATTCTCCAAAAATCTCATACAAATACATGGTGAGCAGTTCTTTACCAGGACAATTATCACACTGTGCAAGCATGCATTCTTTGCTTTCTACTGAGCAAACAGTTTTCAAAAGTAAATCCTTATACGTTAGTTCAATATTTAAGGCATCCACTAGCAAAATGGCATTTTGGTGATAAGAACAAACACAAACAGAATGTGTACCACTTGCACCTGGCAAAATGCACCACTTTGGTCTAAGTGAAGCAAATTTTGAGTAACTTATTTGTATTTCTGGATTGTTTTCTTTGTATAATACATATAGTTCCTTTAAATTACACAAAAGCAGTTTTTTTTGTTTGTGGACGTTCTTTTGAATGCTGACATAATCTTTTTTTCCAGGCATAGTTCGACATAAATCACTTGAGTCATAAAACAATTTAACTGAATCTTCTATTTCTTTATGTAAGACTTTACCCTTATACAATGGAGAGATACCTAACAATCCTTTTTTATTAAAAATTTTTCTAGCCATCTTGGCCTGGTATTCTGTAACCGAAAAGTTATTTTGTACTTCTAATATTGACCAACTTGGGGGTGCCAGTGTTAGAAGTTGAACAATAGTTCGTTTGTCAGAACATAGAATTTTTTCTTTTACCAAGCTCATAATTTCATCAAAGTTTGCAGCCTTCTTTTTCATCCCATTGGTTTCATAACATAGTTTTGAGGAAAATTGAGTTTCAATTTTTCTAGTAGCGTTATACGCCATTTCGTTGATGCATGCAACTTTTTGCTTTCCTTCTGACAGTATATATTTTAATGATTTTGAATGAGATTTTAGAGGAGATAAACTAAAATTTTTGAGTTCTTTATTGATCTCCTGTCTTATTTTTTTGCATGGTGATATTAGAAAATCCTCATCTTGTTCACTCTTACTTTGCTCCTCTTCTGTAAGTTCTTTTTTTCTGGCAATCTTTTGTTTACAAGGTTTGCAAAGTTTCTTCCCAGGAGGAATATTCAAACAATTTCTTATCATGACTTGTGACTCTTTTATTGTAACTACGCCAAGATTTTCTAAAAGTAATTGAATTGTATAAAGTATGTCTGCACATTAGTTCAAAACTTTCGTTTATTTTTTGAAAAACATAAATTAATGAAATATTTAAATTTTACAGCTACATACTTGTGATTTTCTTTGTATGTCTATTGAATGGATCACAACAAGCTTTCTGCCATATAGGATACATTTTCAAATATTTTGTATTATGTCTTTCACATAATATTTCTAAGTTTGATAATTCAATATTACAGCGTAATAAAGATATAATTATTTTTTCTTCATTGCTTAAAGTTTCAATAACATCTTGTTGGCCTTCGCAAGCATCTGATGTCATTAACCCAATAGAACACATCTTAATAAGATAAATTATTTAGTATGAAAGTATTTCCTAAAAATAAAAATAAAATTCTTCTACTTAATTGTATGTAAAAAAAGTTTTTTAATAAATATAATTTTTAATAAATGTTGTTCTTAATATTATTATTATTAATATTAATAATAAATGTTGTAAAAAAAGAAGTTTTTAAATAATTATATTATTTAAATTATTAATTTTTTAAAATTTAAATATAATCTTACCAATAAATGTTGTTCTATATCTGAACTTTTATAAACTAAACTTTTATAAACTAATTTTTAATAAACTTTTACAAACTATAGTTGTCAAAATTAAAAAAAATATCATATTAACATAACAATTATTTTTTATAAAATGTTTTTATATAAAAACAAAACCGGATGTTTTTTCAGTTGTTAAGTTCATATAATTAAGTTATCATATAATTAAGACTTCCTTAAATATATAAAAAGTCTATTAACCAAAATTAATTCTTTACAGAATTCTATAATTTGCTACACATGTACTATCTTTAGGAAGATTTTTAGCAGCTTTTAAGTGATGCCATACCCTTTTAATTTTTTAATTAGTTTGCAATGAAGTGTATTGAATGCTTTTGCAGTAAGAAAAAAGCAATTCGAAGGATACAAAAAAAAAAAGAACTTTCCTACTTAGTTTTCAGTAAAAAAAAAAGCTCTAGTTTTAAATATATTAAATAATGATATAGTATTAGATATTTCCAAATCTTTGGCTGTAGGATAATTGGAGCTTGATAAGAGTTAACAATGATGTCTCAACTTATCATCTACAACTTATCACTACTAAGTAACTACTGTTCATACAAAGTAGTTTGATATGTTTTATTGGCTAAATGGTTTAAATGACAGAGATATGGCAATGCCAGGTGTTATTGAAACACTATTCTCCTCCCCTCTAACTGTAATAAAAAAAAGTTGTTTTCACCATATCTTTTGCAATATGCTTTTTTTTAAGTATTCTTGGTAAATTGAACTAAATTAGAACATCACTAAAAATATTTTGTTGTTCCCTCACCCCTCCCCCTCGTTAGAAAATTGCTATGGGCACCCATAAAAGTGGTGTATCTTGGAAACTATGGTTCTATATGTTTTAGTTGTTTTTCCAGTTAGGTTTTTGTGCCTAGTAAGATAATAAGTAGCTAAAAATATTAAAAGCAAAAAAAAAAAAATCTAGACGGGGGTGTTTTGAGATATATGACCCCTAAGTTTGAATATATAAATTAGGTGTGTTTTTAATTTTAAAGCATGTTCTGCTCATATTTCAGCATTCTAAGTGCATTTTTTGAATTCTGCATTAGAAAAGCATTATAAATGCTAATTTTCATATTTTTATTTTCATTATTTTTCATTTTATTAGAGCAAACGTTTTTTTAAAATGACACAGAAACCAGGTCATTTTGGGAAACCAGGTCTATATTAAAACCTTGATATCTTGTGAACGGCTGAACATTTTTGGCTAAAATTTTGCATGTGAACTTTTCTATATGAAATGCAACAGCTAAAGAAGTTTAAAGAAAATATGAGACCTATGGTTCAAAATCTTGAAAAATTTGGGTGATTTGATGTGGAATTACCCTTAAACATTTTTTCATACAAAACTTTATATTATAACTTATAATATCAGTTACAGTATTTATAATATAAGTATTATATTATTAATTATATAAATTATAGAAAATGTAAAACATTCATGTATTTATGAATAATATGTAAAGTTTAGATAAGGCAGTATTACTTAGTAAAACCTTACCATGTTTTGTAAAGTGTCATTTAGATTTGCTTGAAAAAGATAATTTAAAATGAAACACATAAACTTAGTGTATTTCATTTTTGTAACTTAGTGACTAAGCCATAACTGTTAGCACACCAAATCATAAAAACTAATTTTAAAAATTTTCAACATTTCGTCGCATGAGAATTATAGGGTTCTATCTGCCTTGTTTTATGTTGAAAGAATTTAACAATCAAAGTTTTAATTAATAATAAAAAGAAAACCACTTAAAAATATATATATATTATATATCATTTTTCAAGTGGTTTAATATAAAACATGTTAAATAATGAAATATAGATAACATAAACAACTTATAATTTATAATTATAATGAATAACAGCTGTAAAACATGTATTAAATAAATATTAAAAGTTAAGTTCTCACAACATAAAAAAAGTCAGATAGAACCATATACTTCTAATGTGACAATTTGTCTATTGCATAAAAAAATAAAAACATGTCTTCATTTTGATAAAATATTTTACAAGACTGTAAAAAAGTAAACATTGACATATTCTCAAACTTATTAATGGTTATAAAATTTAGAGCATTTAAGAAGTATGTTAATTAGCATTTAAGAAGTATATTAAGAGTATGCCGTGTTTTTTTTTTTTTTTTTTTTTTTTAAATCATTTGTTAAATGAATATCTAAATAATAATAATAATAATAATAATAATAATAATAATAATAATAATAATAATAATAATAATAATAATAATAATAATAATAATAAGGTATAACTGTAACAACTGTTTTAAACAGTTGCGAAGTGCAATAACATAAGATATTGCACTGTAACAGCTCATTTTGTCTTTTGTTTGTGTTTTAACAAATAGTTTCTGCAAAATCCAGCTCTGTCTAGTTTGTTTTTGAAGTTATTTATTGAAGTAGCTTCTATTATTTTGGATGGTAAGCTGTTCCACGCATTTACAACTCGATTTTGGAAAAAATGATACCTGAAGGTATTTCTGCTAAAAGGCTTCCTCATTTTGAATTTGTGTTGTCGCAGACAATATAGCTATAAAAATATTTATACTTTTATTATAAATTAAAACTGATATGTAAATAATTATTTTTTACAAAAATACTAAAAAAGAACCAAATTAAGTTCCTGTTCACTATAAAGGCAAGTGTATATTCAATCCAAATCAATCTGCTTTACTGCATATGTCATTTTAAAAGATTTTATCATATTTTCAAGCATAATTTTAGCCGCAATTGTTGCACCATATGGGACCCATCTTTTACCCAGTTCAAATCCCAGCCATAACTCAGTTCCAATAATCTAGTTACATTCCAGCTGGGACCCAGTTGTTGTGGTTAACTGGGCAGTTTATCATTTTTATTATTAATTACTATTATTTACAAGTAATTCATAATATAAATTATTTAAATATTTTTTCATATAAAACCTTATACTACAAATTAAAATTAAAGTTATAATATTTACAATATAACTCAAATTATAAATATTATCACTTTAAAAAACATAGTATTACTATGTTTTGTAAAGTGATAATATGACTATTAGTAAGGTTTTACCAAGTGACACTGCTATATATAAACTTTAGATATCATTTATAAATGCATAATATAAATGTAAGATTTAACATTTTCTATAAGTTATATATTTGATAATATATTACTTATACTATGAGAAATATATTAATTATATTACTTATAAAATATATAAAATTTTACATTTAATAAATGTATGATTTTAATTTTTTTCATAGGTATGTAAAACTTGCATATTATTTATAAATACATAAACCATTTATTAAATGATTCTTGTGAAAATAAATAATATGTAAAGTTTGCGTACGGTAGTGCTACATAGTAAAACTTTGCTATGTTTTGTAAATAAAATTTGCCAAAGTCATTTTACAAAACGTAGCAAATTCAAATGTTTTACAAAAAGTCTATGAGATTTGTTTGAAAAAAACATTAAAATTAAACACACTAAGCCATTACTGTAAGCACAATAAACCATATAAACTATTTAAAAAAAAATTTAACTTTGTAGTTTTGTAATTTTATTTCAACAAAACTTCTTAATAAAAACGATGCCAAAAAAACTGCTTTGATTAGAGATACACGCTACCATTAAACTACGCGTCCCATCTTCAAACCGGCCGTAAGCCCCATGCCAATCCCAGTAAAAGCCCAGACTTTATTTGCGGCAATATTTTTACACCATATGGGACCCATCTGGCACCCAGAACAAATCCCTTCCCGAACCCAATCCCAGTAATCCCAGCTCAATCCCAGTCAATCCCAGCTGGGACCCAGCTGGGTTGGTTAACTGGGAAGGCCTTTGAAAGGTGTGCTGTTAATTATGGTGGTCTGTTCATAACCATTCAAGGAAGAGGCAAAAACTTATTTAGTCTTGTTTACTTGCTTGTCTTCACAAGGAGTTCACCTTGAAGTGGCATTTGCGTTGGACGCCAACTCATTTTTAAATGCGTTTTTTAGGATGAGCAGTCGAAAAGGAACTTCAAAAGAAATGATATCGGACAATAAAGGCAACTTTGTATTAGCAAACAAAGAGCTACGAAGTTTCACTGATGACGAAAAGAAAAGAATAAATGAGGCAACAAGCCATGTTGATACTAAATGGCATTTTGACCCACCAGCAGCCCCTCATTTTGGAGGAGTTTATGAAATCATAATAAAAGCCGCAAAACGAGCAATTTATTCCCAACTTGGAAATGCGGATATTGTTGACGAAGAACTTATTACAGCGTTTGTTGGGGCAAAAGGACTTATAAACTCACAACCATTGACTTATCAATCGAGTGATCCTAAAGACTGCACACCCCTTACACCAAATCATTTTCTATTTGGACAATTAGGCGGTAAGCTCGCCGCTGATGCAGTGGATATTACTTCATTCAACTCAAAAGGAAGATGGCGAAGAGTCCAATAATTAATAAAACATTTTTGGCATTGCTGGATAAAAGAATAGTTAACCATGCTTGGACCACGAAAAAAATGGAATGTCGTAATGGGAAATTTATCGATAGGCAATAAGGTATTGGTGATCTCCGAAAATACTTCAAGAGGCAATTGGCCCCTTGGTCGGGTAACTGAGGTTTTTCCTGGAAACGATGGGTTAGTGCGTGTCACCAGTGTTCAAGTTGGGAAGGTTAACTTAAAACGTCCGATAACCAAGTTATCCTCTTGAGTCGAATGAACCAGAAGATGAATGAAACGAAGATGAATGAACAGAAAATGAATGAACCAGAAGTAGAATGAACCAAAAGAACCAGAAGAGCTGAACGAACCATTTGGTCAAAAGAGAGGAGTATGTTCACGAGGCAATTAGTGTAAAAAGTAGTTTAATGTAAATAATTTAATGTAATGTTGTATTATAAACGTTTCTAAGCATCATATATTAACCTTAGAGATTTGCTTCGCTAATTAGGCAATTAGCAAATTTTGTATATAGATCATTATAAAGTTAGAAAATACCTAAATATTTATCTTGGGGAAATGAATATAAATAAATAATCGAGTATAAATTTATAAAAAGAAGCCTTTTTTTTGGGTTAGCTATTAACGTGCTAATCGAAATATATAATGCTGAAATAAATCACGTATTATTATTGAGTTTAATACACCCTTCGCGCTTTCACAAGAACATATATATATATATATATATATATATATATATATATATATATATATATATATATATATATATATATATATATATATATATATATATATATATATATATATATATATATATATATATATATATATATAATATATCAGGCCTCATCCCACCCCAACCGGGGGTAGGATGAGGCTTTTTGGTAAAATGTTCATAACTTGAGAAGAATATTGTTTTACAACAGGAAATTTTGTATTAATAAGTTATTCACTAAAATCTGGGTCAAAAGAAATAGAATTAATTTAAAGGAATAAGAAAAAGTAGAAATTTAATTTAAAAAAAATGAAAGCAGATGAGAAAAAAGAGTTAGTATGAAGAAGTTAAATAAAAAATACAAAGTTATCATTTTGTATTATGTCCTACTATAATATCATGTCAGGGGCGGATCTACGTTACGGCATATTAGGCGTCCGCCTAAAGAGAAATATACTATTAGGGTAAGTTGGCGAATTTCGGGCAGTTTGCTGAACATTTTTTTTTTTTATTTGCATTCACTCCCAACAAGGCTGCAAGCAACCACTATTAAGTTGGGAGTTACTAGGAAAAAAAAGAACAGAGTTATAGAGCAAGGAAACGGTTGACAGAAAACTTAAAAATTTGAAGGTTGTATGAGTCAGGAAAACATTAAGATGGGAGAGAGTTCTAAAGAATTGAAGTGCGGGGAAAAAAACTAGATGAATAAAAGTTTTATGAGCATGCAGGGACAGATACAGAAAACGAATGAGACTTAGCTGAATGACGAGTAAAACGAGAATGAATTTTAGTTGATGGAACTAGAGATGATAACTCCTTTGAGCAGTGACCATGATAGTATCTGTAGAAAAGAGAAAGAGATGCAACTTTACGACGATGGGAAAGAGGTTCAAGCTTAGCAGATAGTCCAGGTCCAACAACATTTACAATGCGTTTTTGGACCTTGTCAAGAAGAGAAAGTGAATCGTTAGAAGAACCAGCCCAAATATGACAACAGTATTCCATACAGGGACGAATAAGAGATTTGTAGAGGTAGAGAATGGAATCAGAAGTAAGGAAATGGCGAGCACGATAAAGAGAAGCAACCTTAGCAGAAGCTAATTTAGCAATCGATTGTATATATGGTTTCCATGAAAGGTCAGTAGTAAGCGATAATCCAAGAAGACGTAAAGAGGACGACTCAGTAAGAGGATTGCCATTCATTAATATAGGAATGTTGACCATATTACGTTAGTTGTTTGCAGTAAGCAATTGGGTTTTTTTAGAGTTGAAATTCACAAGCCACTGTGAACCCCAATCTATTACTGAAGTGAGATCAGATTCAAGGTCAGCTGCTTGTTCTAGGCGATCGAAAAGAGAAGACTTTTTGTCAAGACAGGAGTATAAAGTTGAGTCATCAGCAAAAAGAGCTACTTTAGATGAAAGGTTGTCAGGAAGATCGTTTATGTAGATAAGAAACAAAACAGGGCCTAGGATGGAACCTTGGGGAACCCCAGAAGTTACTGGAAATAAAGAAGAGTGTTGGCCTTCAAGGATGACTTTAATAAACCGGTCAGAAAGAAATGATTTGATAATCTCAAAAACTTTCCCAGCAACACCATATGAAGCAAGCTTATGGAGAAGACCAGCATGCCAAACTTTGTCGAAAGCTTTAGATATGTCGAGAGCAATAGCCCTAGCCTCACCGCCTCCATCTAATGCACGATAAAATCTTTCAGTTACAGCAGTAAGCAAGTTGGCCGTAGAGCAAGAGGATCGAAAACCGTATTGATTGTCTGACAGCAGTTTATTTGACTCAAGATGAGATGTGAGGAATTTGTTGATTAAAGACTCAAAGACCTTGCTAATAACAGAAAGAAGACTGATCGGACGATAATTGGAGGGGTCAGAATTTTCTCCAGAGTTTTTGAATATTGGAACCACAGATGCCATTTTCCAACAACCAGGAAAACAAGACTCAGTCAAACACTTGTTAAATAGTTTAGAGAGAATTAAAGAAAGTTCTGGAGAATAATTCTGCAAGACTGTGACAGGAATGTTGTCTGGACCACAAGCTGTAGACGAGTTTAATTGAGATATGACTTTAGCAACAGAAGCCGGAGTGATTTGAATGTCTAACAATGGGTCAACCTGTTTGACTGGAATGGAAGGAAGAGAATGTCCATAAGATTCAAGAGTGGAATTAGAAGAAAAGTTCTTTGCAAATAGTTCTGCGTTATCCTTGAGAGAGGTAATAAGATCAGTCCCATGAATGAGAGATGGAATGTTAGATCTACCCTTGTTAACAATGTTGTTGAAGATTTTCCAAAAGTCTTTAGAGCCTAACTTCTGCGATAAGATGCGAGATTTAGTGAACTGAGAATAATGGAGTTTAGCATCAGAAAGCACCTTTTTACATCGATTTCTTGCAATAATAAATAGCCGTTTGTTCTCAAGAGAGTTGTTCTTTTGAAAAAAATGAAAAAAATGGTTACGATTGGATATAGCAGCCGCACAAGAAGGAGAAAACCATGGAGTAGAATGAGGCTTGACTTGAAACCGACGAGAAGGAATAAAAGCTTCCATTCCAGCCTGAATCCAGGAAGTTACGTAGGAGGCACATTTGTCAGCTGAGAGAGAAAAAACATCAGCCCAAGGACCATCACGAAGAAAATCACGAAAGGAATCCCAGTCAGCTTTAGGGTAGTAGTAGGTGGTGCGATGATAAGGTGAGCCCAAAAAAGAAGTACGAGAAGAAAGATTTATAGAGATCATTGCATGGTCAAAACCACCTAAGGGAGAAAAGGGAGAAACTGAACATAAGCTAGGGTCAGAGACAAGACATGAAGTCAAGGAGTGAAGGTAAATGATTAGGGTTGTCAGGAAAACGAGTCACAAAGTTAACTATCTGAGTAAGAGATTGAGAAACGCATAAGTTAAAGGCTTTAGTGCCAGCAGGATCAGTGGTGTTAGAGCCAAGCCATTCAGCGTGATGGGCATTAAAATCACCAACAACAACAATATTGGCAGAGGGGTAAAGAGAGAGGGCATGGTCAATTTGATCAGAGATAACATCTAAAAGAGTGCAATCATAGGAAGAAGGAGAACGATAAAGAACAAAGAGAAAGGTGATAGAGTGAAGAGGTGCTAGGCGAAAGCACATAAAAGAATGGTCAAAGGATTTGAACCTGATTTCACGACAAATAGGGGAATTAATGCGTATGTATACCCCTAAACCTAGCATGTGACTATTGGAGTCTTTACGAATCAAAGGATAGTACCCATCAACACTGACATCTGAAGAAGGAATTGCAGAACTTAAATTTGTTTCACTGAGTGCAAGCAAGTCTGGTGAATTTTGCAGGAGGTAAGACTCAACTGATGGAAAGTTGCTTCGTAGACCGCGAATATTTGTAAAAGATATATTAAAATATTTAGGTGGCGGGGATGGTTTTTTAGGTTTTAAATTTTTGGTTACTTTGGTCATGATTTGGGTTTAATGAGAACTTGACTCATTCATAGATAGAGCACAGCCTCCTAATCAATGAGCTATGCAGTTGTCTCAGTCCTGTTAATTAACCTTAAGCCGTGACATAGGGCTCCTTATGTGGCCTTGACAATGCACACCAAAAGCATTAACAGGGACACCATCCATGCGCAACATGGCACTGTTAATACTCTGATATTTTGCAGCTGTTGATGGAATCAGCCACTCTGAGAGCTACCACAGAGTTCGGGAAACCTTACTACCAGCCGGCCTCAGAACCATTAAACTGAGTTTTAGAGCTGTACCCTCATATGGAGATAACAGGAAGAGTTGCATAGCCATTATCATAGAGGCATAAGCAAAATTCTATGAGTAGAGTCAAGGAGATCCAGCATTCATCATCCTAGGCAGGAAACAATGTAACACAGGTTACATCAACGCCAGCCTAATAGATGAAGAAGGGGTTCGAGGCTGGTTAGTAGAATTTTTCTGCTTACCCCTAAAGTCTTTGCCTAGGAGGCCTTCTACAAGACAGTAGCAGGATGCAGTTAACATCTGCCCAAGATGAGTATTTTTATCGAGACACCATCTCTAGCCTTTACTCAACCAAGAGCCCCAAGGCAGGGGATGTTTAGCTGGATGCAGTTAACATCTGCCTAAGATGAGTGTTTTTATCGAGACACCATCTCTAGCCTTTACTCAACCAAGAGCCCCAAGGCAGGGGAATTTTTAGTTGGAGTTTATTTCTCCTAGCCTTTGCCTAAGAAGAGCACACTCTGCAAGGCAGCAGGGCTTGTGGCAGGTGGTACTG